CCTTCAGCACTTTGTGCTTTGACATTTTCATTATCATACCCATAGAAACACACGCACTGATTTCTTTCAAGGTTTCTTATTTCTGATCTTGATATTCACTTTCATTTCATTCATATGTGTGCAGTTTACCACAATAAATGTCTTGGCAGAGAAGCTTGGAGGTCAGTATCATGGGCCAGCCAGGACAGCTGTGGTTGCTGCAAGGACAAAGGGCAGAACTGCCATTTGACATGAGAAAGCAGATGACCGTCTGCACAGAGCCGCCTGCCCGGTTAAGTTATTGTTCAATAGAAACAGAGTTGATATAGGAAAAGTCAAGCTGAAGGACTGTGAGCTTTAGTGGGTCAAAGGAAAGGACAGAAAAGCCAACAGAAAGAGTAGTGAAACGGGTAAGGAACTCCTGGTGTTTGAAAGGTGTGCATGGACATGACAAGCCCCTGTGAAGACATTAAAAATCAAAGCTGTTAACAAAATCAAGCTGTATCTCTAATCTTGATTTGCTGTCTAACTTGTTGATTCTATTTACATATTGCATCAGAGCTCCTATTACACTGAGCATAACATGTAACAGTGCCTCTCCTTTTGTAGTTTACCTGATTCAGATGAATTATGATTATCCGTGGCAAAAACTTAAGAGCAATTCAGTTACCTTTGCCTCTCTGAATAGTTTCTGAGTTGACAGAGACAGCGGCCTGTCTCTGACCCTGTCTGAGTCTGCAAACCTCCCTGTGTTCTCCTGTCTCCAAGCTGGGGAAGAAATACATTTAGGTCAGTCACAGATGTTGTGGACTTTTCTCATCTGGTATAATTGTCTTGTGATGCCAAGACTGTCTCCAAACCTGGACTGGTGTGGATAGATGAAAGGAAGACCCGTGCAAGTCACTGCTCAAGTGTGCTTTCTTTCACCTGCTTTCTTTGCAGTGTAGTAGTGGGATCATTGCACTGTTGGCTAGATTTAGACCATAAAGCATCAAAACACAGCTCACAGTCATAGGGAAATGGAGACATCCAGAGTGTCTGGGAACATATCTGCTTTTCCAGAACTCTGCAGACTTTCAAATACCTGGTGACAGGATGTAAGGGGTAATTTAGCTGTGTAAGGTGCTCCAGGAGATGCTTGGCTTGCCTGGATTTATAATTCACAGATGGGACTGGTCTCACTTTGAGGTTATCTCTCAGAATTTGAACACAGCTCCCACTCCTACCAGAAGACCAAGCCATGCCCAAATTCCATGTGGGCTCCACATTTTCCATTTGTCACATGTGGCAGCAATGGATTCTGCACAGAAGCCTCCCAGAGCTGCTGCCTCCCGAAGGTGCCCATTTTGATGCCCTGATAACTATCCCAGCAGTAAGAGCAGAGCTGGGTGCCATGACACAAGGTCCTGAGGGGGGCACTAGAGGTTTGGTTATGACTTAGAAAACCGTGCACGGGTCTTTGCTGGATCTCTGCAACCGTTTCTCCCCAGCAGACTGCTCAGCAGCCCAAAAACAGTGCTAGAAAGTGGGAACAAGCATGACAGAGGACAGCAGTCATCACAATCTCTCCCATTCTGCACCCACACCTGGAATACTGCATGTTGCACTGGCTTCCTGCTCTCAAAAGGACAGAGCAGAATGAGAGAGGTACTCGTGAAAGGGGTAGAATGGGTCTTTGATTAGCAGATATACAGAATGACCTCTGGAAAGGAAAGTGATGATCTATATCTCCTCTTCTTGGGAAAAAGGTAGAGAAGTGGACATTCATATCATTTTTGCCAAATTATGCCACTTATAGGAAGGAGAGGTAGGAAACACTGAGCCCTCTTCTCAGAATGCTGTTGTGTGTGTATATCCTGGGAAAG